TAAAACTTTTGTTTTTTGTTAACACACTAAAAATTCATCTGCTATCGCTTGCATTAATTTGTTTTTTCTGATTTTTTATCGTTTATCTGCTAAATGGAGTGTCAAGGTCAAGCTATAGCGCTAAAAAGTTCATTCAATTTATTAAACTGTGTTCTGATGGCTTGAAAATTTGGTTTTTGCACCAAATTCATTTGTCATTGGCGTTAAGGGCCATTTCATCAGACATCTTTCTGCATTTTGAAACATATGAGGAGAAATCTAGGAAGGGAAAATTGTATTGAGGCAATAAATTTGGTGTGATATGGTGGAATACATCTGAATAAGGAGTGTGGATTTACCGATGGAGGCAAAGGATTGGTGAGATCTAGTTTGTAGCAGTGACGTCGGCATTTGTGACAACAATTCATAGTTTGTGTGGGCAGAGTTGCCAAATTCGAGCCTTGGTGAGTGGCTAGGAAGGTAAATCATCACCAAAATAGAGGACTAAGGCAGATCTAGGATGTGCAGGATGTAGGTTGGATCCAAAATTATTAGGGAAGATCTACAATGCAAAAGAAACAAGATCATGGCATGACAAACTACATTGCCTTAGAGTTGTCTATTGCGAGTAGCTAGCGAACATTGTGAGTGGAGGTCACATGATTGCATTATCCAAGCCAAAAAGATTGCATAATAGGATAGAGGTAGAGGATTGTGGAATGTGTAGCCTGGGATTGTGAAAGGAAAAACATGTCTATGACGTCACCATATGCGAGTGGAGGTGATGCTCCTTTTGTTGGATTTGGACAAAGATCACGAGCAAATGCATTGGTAGGCACAATTTGGCTTGATAGAGATGGATAGCTCAAATAATAGGATCTGTGGAGATCCATGCTGAGTTCGATGGGATAGGCGAATGCAGAGTGGATATAAGCTTTTGATATGATTTTACATCGGCAAACATAAATGCGCTTGTCATTTGAGTAATACAAGGAATCAAATCCAAAACCAATTTTACAAGGAATAAATGTGACTTTTTAAAGTAAAGCTAAGTAATAGCTAGAAAACCCAATTTTCTATTTAAAATAACACTTTATTGAAATTGTGTTTTAATTTCCTTTGGATTGACTAAATATCCAAAATTATTGTTGAGCTAGATGAGAAGGTTTTCATAAAAAACTATTGTTGTCAATTAGGAACAAATATAGTTTTTTAGTTTCTGTCGAAAGCAATTAAAAACCTAATTTATAAAGCATAATGTAATGTGTCTATGTACTTAGTAATTTAAAAAACAAAATTTAATTTCCCTTAAAGATTGTTAAGGTTTAAAAGCAATAGTTCAATTCTCCTAAATCCTTGTTATGATTTTCCTGATATTGAATTATACTCTGTCGAAATCTAAACTACATTAAAATTTAAACTGGAATTGTAGCCATCATTCATTTTAAATGAGTTTATATAATACACAAATAGGCATAAGAACTAAACTTGCGAGAAATCTTTTTTTACAAACACTCAGCTTCCATGTTACAAATCCAAAGAAAAGATTCTTAGCATAGCATGCTTGCTTTTATCACACAAACACTGTAAACATTTCATTTCAACCATATAACTAAGTGTTTACAAGAGATTAATAAGATAAAATTTGAAATAAAGAACCCGGTTTTTCTAAGGATGATTCAACCGCACTAGCCCTGGCTAGGGCTGTCAAAACGGCTCGTTGTTCGCATCCTGTTCACTTGTTTGCTATGTTAACGAGCTGAACACTAACAAAGATTTGTTCGTTCATATTTGACTCGTTTTGACTCGAAATACTACTTATCAATTGTATATATATATATATTATTTATTTATTGATGAGTACTATTTTAAAAAAAAAACTTAATTGACTACAAGACTATAAAGATTTACATTCAATTAAAATTATTAATTAATAAAATAGAATAAAAATTATTAAATTAGATTCAAATGATGTTTTAATATAAAGAATAATTTTTAAATCTTGCCCCAACTCTTAAAATCTTATAGCTACGTGATTAGTGTTGTCAAAATAATTATTTGTTCGTGAACAGTTTGTGTTTAGCTCGCTAAGCAAACGAGTCAAACTTGAGCATATTTTTTTAGCTTGAAATATAAACGGGCCGAACACGAGCTGAGTCTGGGCTTGCTCGTGTTTGGCTTGTTTACACCCCTAGCCTTGGCCGAGTTTTCCTTCTCCTTCCTTTTACTTCTTCTCTTGCTTAGTTAGACTAGGAATCAATATTTTCGCAATTCACTCACTCAAACACGCTCACATTCACTACTCACTCCCTACTCTCCTAGACTATTTTCTTGAGCCTTCCACTCCGGTCAACCGCCCTTCCCCCTAAAAAATTGAATTTGAGCATGCTTAGAAGTTCCCGTCTGGGCCGTCTTGCTGTAGCACTATGGAGATGACATTGCGGGGTTGGGAATGTGTTAAGGTGGCCAAGGTATGATGCTGTAGTGCCAAGTTCTCTTTCTTTTGGTTATTTTGTCTAGCGCTAATAACGCTACGACGCTCCGGAGAATGGCACTGAGGCGCTGGGTAGATAGCATTGAGGCGTGCTGGATTTATTGGTGTTGAGGCGCTGTCTTCTGATGTTGAGGCTCTAGGAAGTTGGCACTACTCAAACTCACGGGAAAAATTCTATTGAGAAAACCCATCACAATGCCTAGGAGCTAGGCCCTAGGCCCAGTATTGCGGTGCTCAAGTGAACTTCACCAATTCTTCCTGAAACTTTTTTATGGGTTTTCCCACACAAATACATACAAAATTATGCAATATATGAAGAGAAACATGTAATAAAGACAAGTATTTAGGTAAGTCTTTCGGTGTTTTCTCACAGCGCTATTGGTTTGCTGGATGCAGGAAATATAAGGGGAGGCTTTGCAGAGGGATGCATTAAAGGTGGGAGGTGAGATGAAGAGGAAGTGATGAAGACAACAATGGATATTTGTTTTTTGTTGGAATGAAGCTTTTCTTTTAGTTTTATGTCTGTGGTGACAATAAGAATTGCGGGAGTTTTAGACCAATGAAATTTGAGACCAAGATGGATTAGGAGGATATGTCTCAACAAGAGCATTAATTGTTACAAGCTTATTGGATCAAGGGCAAAAATAGGAGCTGCAGGCTGTTGGGATGTCCAAGAAATCACATGATTCAGAAGAGGAAGAAGAAACTTCAGTGCATACTTGATAGTACCCAATAGGAAGTATATATAGGGCTTACAACATATCATAAGAGTCATTAAAAACCTATACGTCACGAACTACTCTTCAATTACCTATTAAACCTTTTAATATCCATCATTGGCATATGACCACTAAGGCATGTTCTAACCTCTTAACTCTATCTAATGACCAACTATACTTATTGAACCTAACAAGTGCTTGTAGATTTTTTTTTTATAACAATTCTCCGTGGAATAATTTTGACACATTGCATTTTTTGAGGTACAGAAAAGAGTTGTAATATGAGGACTTGCTTGGTCTGGTTTGCATCGTGGAGTGAAGCAATTCTAAGAACTGGCTAGGAAAGGGAAGCTGCAAGAAATGGACATAAAGCATATACATTCTTTCCATATTTTTTAATGCTTAGAAATTTTGAAGGAATTGCAAAACGATAGCACAATCATTGTAGGATAAATATCATGTAGGTCCTCAAGGTTGAGGTTTGGATCAGGTGCATGTTTTTGAAAACTCTCCACTTAGATCAAACAGTCAAGATTCTTTTTTCAATGTCTTTTTGTTAAGAAATCCATGAATTGAGTAAAAACGACAAATTTACCCCAACATTTTTCCTTAACTTCCCATCTTTCGTTGAGAACCCTTTCTTTTTCTCCTCACATGTCCAGGATCCATGAAGAGAGAAAAGGGATGGGAGATGGCGGGTGCGGGGTTGGAATGGTGGCGTCTAATGTGCACATTGATTTTTTTTGAAATTTATCAATTGGAATTCCACAAAATGGATGTAATCTAAAACTAAATATCTTTAGTTATAAAAAATGTGTGCAGAAGTCAAATGTATATAATAAAAGGTGGAAATATCACACAAGGCTTACTTTAGGTGTATGACTTAAGTTGAAGCAAGTGGTTATGTAACTAAAGTCCACTGGAACGATTAACTCAAGTGTACAATCTAGGTTCTAATTCATGAAACCGAAGTCACCAAGCTTAGTTTAACACAAATGATATGGTGATGTATAAAATGCTTATACTAACCAAAGAGTGGTTAAGCATTATGATATGTCACTCTACAAGTCGAGCACAAGATCAATTTGTTATTTTCATGATGATGATGGTGATGATATATATACATAAACGAGTCAAGTGCAAGCAATGTCAGGTTACACAAGATTTTTATGGGTGAACACTCCTAGCCAACACTGTGTACTGTTGACCTCATTTTATGAGGTATTCCTTTCCTTTTCCTTAGATATACAGAGGACTGGATTGGGACCCACTATATTTAGGAATTCAAGTCATTTCTTCGCTCTTTGAAGTTTCATATGGACGGTTTCAAATCCTCAGCATTCGATTGAGTCGATTAAAGCCGGCGTATTGAAGCTCAAGTTGAGCTCTTATAGGGGTTTAAAAGCTATAAGCAGACCCCACTACGTACGACGTTTGACTTGTTGCCGGTAGTGCTATGCTTGACTTTGGTTTTTGCTTAGGCGAGGGTCGGTCAGTGTTTTACTTGTTAAACGATTCCGGTTGGATCAAAATAACTTCATTTAACACCCCGGATGATAAAACAGACCGCACCGTGCATCTGGAACGTCGACTTTAGTCAGGAAGGACATGTATATTAATAGGGTTTCGAATTGGGTTGAATTGTGCGTAAATTGGTGAATTTGAGTAAAATAATGTTGACCTCATTTTTAGTGAGGTCTTAGTCTTC